GGGGGCGGGGTATAATCTGGACTGGGAGGTATAAATAGGGAAGAAGGTGGACGGACTAGAGGGAGAGCAGGGAGAAGTCAGAGCAGGGAGAAGTGAGAGTCGGAAGATGAGTGATAGAGTAAGCAAGTGATAGACCAAATAAAGAACACGAGTTTAATGATCCAATGTATCACCGGAGTTGTTTACTATTTGAGTACCAGATTTAGATGAAGTGTGTCAGATAGTAAGCAAGGTCTCTTACAATATATCATACGATCACCGCTAGCTCAAGAGCTGCAAGATTTGAAGAACAAACTTGGCGACACTGTGTGTGGGGGGGGGGGTAGGGGTGGGGGGATAAATATGGCCTCGGTAAGTTTAAGAAACAACATACATACTCCTTTCTAGTCTAGCTTTTATCAGGCCATACTCCTATCTAGTCCAACTTGTATTATAATGTGAATATTTACCAGCATGGGCCATTAGTCATTTGTAGCCTTTACTATAATTGTACATGGAAGAAAATTATTGAATTAAATGGAATACATCAAACTACTGGAAAACAAAACAAAATAGCGGGGTCTTTGCTGCTGGGTATCTACCGTGTGGTTTTGATTAAATCAAGTCTGCTACTACCAAATCTCTAGGCAGATTGTATGTGGCTAATCAAGGGTTTACGTTCCGCAGCCTCACGGCAAAATCAAATTGCGTTTTGTTCAAACAAACTACACAACCAGTATTTGATTATATAAATTTTGCGATTGTATTTAATATGGTCACAAAACAGTCAACAATATTTGTTTTAATTTATTAAAACTTTAAATTAAAATAAACAGCTCGAGACGATATTTTGAAATGCATGTTTCACCTGAGTAACACACGTAGAGTAACACACGTAGAGTAACACACGTATGTTAGATCTAAAAAAAAACATATCTGAAGATTCTTGTTTTCTTACATTTTTTTCTTGTATTCTTAGATTAAGGCGTGTTTTTATTACTATTTTCCATGGACATTTGTGTGTGTAAATTTAAGAACTCGAACATTGTATTTCTTATTTAAAATAGTTTAAACCGCTTTTTGTGCATAGCTTAAAATCTAAACGGCTGGGCAGATTTTTACCACATACATAGATTCATCGTAGTAACTTAAATATAATTCCCATTTTTTTTTTACTTTCAGAAGTATATCCGTTGTTGATCCAGGTGTTTAAGGCCGTTTAGTGGTATAAAGAGGGGACTTAAAAGTGACCTCCATTTGTTGCGAGTCCGTTGTAGGCAACCAGGGATTTTCAAACTAAACGAAGAAACATGATTTTTTTTAAAGAGGAATTATAATTTATTTTGCAATATTACGTGACGTTATGTTGTTTTTTTTTTAAATTTAATCTGTATTTTCCCGGTGTAATAAACGAAACATGAGAAAGGATTGAGAGAAAACTTTTTTCTAAAGAAAACAAAAGCAAAGCTGGTGACACTAACAATATTAAATTTAATTATTAAAAAAAAAAAAAGGATTATACAAAATCAAATTTAAATTCATAAACAAAAAATAAATAACAGCAAATGAAAAAGGCAAACTCCTCAAATTAAAAATATTACAGTACACAAAAATAAATTTTTTTTTTTTAAATTTCATCTGTATTTACCCGGTGTAAAAAACGAAACATGAGAAAGGATTAAGAAAAAACTTTTTTCTAAAGAAAACAAAAGCAAAGCTGGTGAAACTAACAATATTAAATTTAATTATTAAAAAAAAAAAAAGGTTTATGCAAAATCGAATTTGAATTCATAAGCAAAAAATATATCACAGCAAGTGAAAAAGGCAAACTCCTCAAATTACAAATATTACAGTACACAAAAATAAAATAACGTAACCTATGGTAAAAATCTCTCTCGTGCTCTATCTGCTCTGTTGTCTATGTCTGTCTGTCAAAAACATGACGGGCTTTATATGGGAAATAAATCCAACGTTTTAGTTCAGAAATTCTCGCAATTGCGTCAACTTATGACATTCTTGAGAAGAAATTTTAAAAAAATAATAATAAAAAAAATAATTTCATATTCAAAAATGGAATTCTTTTTCCATTGAAGAACTCTAATCAAAAATTTTAAAAAGTACAGCCGTCCCTCGTCTATCGCGTCTAATCATTTACAGACTATACAGCGATAGGTGAATTTCGGCGAAGTATGATTATTCATTGACCAATCGAATATTTTTGTAGTTTGAGCATATAGAACCTGTTAACAACTTTTTTATATTTCGTTTTTTTAAACATTATTAGAACCTCTTTGGGTGCTCAAAGACAGAGACTTGCAGCTCATACACTAGTAGACCCTGTTGGGGGTCATCGAATATATTGACCTAAAGTTCACACATTACTAGAACCTCTTCGAGGTAATCAAATACATAGAGCTACCGTTCACACAATATTAGACCCTCTGGAGGTGCTCGAATAAAGAGACATACAGTTCACACATTATTAGACCCTCTGTAGGTGCTCGAATACATAGACATGCAGTTCACACATTATTAGACCCTCTGGGGGTGCTCGAATACATTGGCCTACAGTTCGAACGTACAGTAATTTTAATTGTAATACACGTTTGTTTAGTGTCTCACATATCCGAGCCCACGCTGTATCGTATTCACTGTCTCGATCAACTTTTTTTAATGAATACATGTTATACTTGAAAAAAATCCACGATAGAGTAAAACCGACAACGTCGAAGTGGCGAGCGACGACTGTAAATTTCTTTCATACAAAACAGTTTTCGAAAATTTGCTGTAAATTTACAAATTAAGCAATAACATAATTTAAATGTGCAGTAAAATTAATTTCTGGACAAAGAGTCAGCAATAAATTTATCCTTGCCTTTAATCTATTTTACATCCAAGCCATGCTCTTGTAGAGATAAAGTCCGTGTAAGCAGCCTTTGATTTTTTTTTTTTTGGCAGCAATCTTGTTCAAAAAAGAGGATATGGGATTGTGGTCAGTAAAAACAGGTACTGGATGCAATGTAGAGCTAAATTAAACCTAGGCGCTCAGTTTTGCAACTGTGGAGCAATTTATCTGATCGAGATTAAATTTCTCAGAGAAATAACAGATAGGATGGACTACTCTGTGAACATCTCCTGGAAACGAAACTGCACCAATATCAACGTCACTCGCATCCTCAACTGTTCTTCTTTTTTGTTTTGCTAATCTCTCTGTAATAACCTGTCATGCCCACAAATCTTGTGAGTTGTTTCCTAGTAGTGGGTGGAGAAAGTGATAACATTTATATTCTTGTACAGGCTTCAGATGACTTGGCCCAATGTGTGAATTAAATATTCCAAAGCTGCATGACAAAATTCACACTCACTTATTAAGTTTATAGAAAAACTGCCTTCAAAAATTTATTAAACACATATATTAATTAGGTTATATGAATTGAAAAATTGTGTCTGTATATAATTACATCATCAATATAGGCCCTGCAGTTTTCCTGATCGTCAATAATTGCTTTTAACTAAGGGTTGGAGTTTAGATGTAGCGTTTTCATTACAAACGGTGCTACCTTATATTTAAGGTAGTATTGAAAGACGCGATTCCTTTTGCTCTGTCAGACAGGTGATTCTGCCAATGACCAGATAATTGCTCTATCTTTTTATTACGGCGTTTGGCACCTCTACTCGAGCAAGGACATCGTCTATCCTTGGATTACGAAAGGAATCAGACTTTGTCACAGAATTTACATTCCTGAAATCGGTGCAAAACATATCACTTTTGTCAAGCTTCGGGTCTTAAATACATGAAAAAAAAAAAAAACCTCCCGTAACTATAGCTTGGTTCAATGATGTCATTTTCAAGCATATACTTAAATTCAGACCACATGTTCGCCTTGAGACTTGCGGAAAGCGCACTTTCGCATTTGCTGGTCCAACAATGTGGAACGCCTTTCCAGTCGATCTCAGAAACAATCAGACACTGGAGTCCTTTTAAACCGATTTAAAGACACTTTTATTTCGCAAACACTTCTGGGATGATTGTCTACCTTATTTTCCAGTTAAAGCATAATGGCTGTGTTGCTTAGGGTTTTATGGCTAGAAAGACTTTGACATTGTATGAATTAGTTTTTGTAGTGTTGCGTTTGTTTTAAATGTGGTAAATTATGGATTTTTTAATTATTTTTTTTTACTCTTGTACCGCGCTTCGAGCCTTTGGGGATGAAACGTGTTTTTGAAATACACTTTATTATTATTATTATTATTATTATTATTTTGAGTTTTTATGGATTGACCGTGTAGGGATCTTGCTAGATGGGATCTGCATTGCCAATGTCAACATTGTGAACAGCAATATTTATTTTATTCAAAATATCAGTAAAACGTAAAATAAAATCAGTAACAATAGATTTAAGGACGTGTGTTTATGATAATAAATTTCTAAGTTGCTTATCTCAGTTGGCCAGAATTTCAGCATTTCAACAACGAAATGACCAACTTTTGCTGGGACAGTATTATACATATCATGGACATTTTCTTTAGGAACTAATGTTAAAGATGATAGTATGTTAAAATTAGTATCTGATGATGGGAAATTATCATCCTAAAGTATTCCAACATATTCTTTAAAAAAAATTATCAAATTGCATAACTGCATCTTTCTTTTGCTGTTAATATGATATAATTTAAGTCGTTAACTTTGGATTCAGTATCACAAAGACCGTAATATCTCGCCTGCAGTGCTTGTCCTGGTACTGGCAGAAGCACAAGAACTTTGCCCCGGAAAGCAAACTGCTTGAATTTAGCGTTTTTATCCTACCAAACTTTTAGAACTGAGTACTGTTAAATGAGATTCAGCCAAAATATAAGCATCAAAAAATATATGTATAAACTTTTAGGCATGGTCCATCGTGATGATAAGTCTTTATCTTTTGCGTGTAATACATTTTAGTGGCCAGGCAATGATGATGCCTTTACTTCTTTGCATTCCTAAAGAAATTCTTCAGCGCTTCCCTGACAGAACTGTTACTACAGTACAGTAGCGGGTTGAGGACGGCATTCGAGTAGGCAATCCACATAACTAACACCACGAGCCATAGCGGAAGGCTGTCAATCAATTGGAAAAACACGAGGGCGAAGCTCAGCGACGGACACCAACAGACGGTGAAACAGATGACCAGACTGCCCACTGTTTTATAGGCTTTGAGATTTCGGCTCCGTGGCATAAGTGTTGACTTCGGAATAGAATCACGTAGGCTACCTACAGGGAATCTATTATTAAATTGTATAACCTGCAAATATGATGAGTTGGGGCTACCTGGAATTTCTTCACACGGAAAAGTTGTTTTAATTCGACTTGGAACGTTTTTACTAAAGTTCTGATCAACAACGTTGGTGTTATCCTTGTCAGAAAGATCACAAACAGAAATAATGCTAGATTCGCGACAATGATAAACAGCATTCGGTGCAGTCTTAGGTGTTCCTGTGATGTCCCTTCTTTTGAGTCGAGTGTTCTTATCCGGATACTTGACGTTTTGGAATAAATACCGCTGATGTGTCTTGGCCATAAGAATTTTTCGTTGATTGTTAAATTGTTTAACCTTCTTCAAAATAACGAAGTATTGGACGTACGTACTAACGAATAGGACACAGAATCCTAAAACCACACTGATCCCGAGGTAGCCCCGGCTTATAACCTGGACGCATTCCTTCCCGGTGCAATAATATCTTTTGCTTTGTGGGTCATTGTGTGCATTACGTACAAAAAGAAGCAACAGGTTTAAAACGACGGGTAATACCCAGGAAACCGCAACCATGACATGCCCCGTCCTGTTCGTCAGAGCCCTGTACTGCAGAGGTCGACATATGGCCAGAAATCTGTCCACAGACAAGCAGTTGACGTGGAGCAGAGACGAGCAAACCCAGGTGTAATTTATGAAATTTCTCGCCGAGCATAGACCGTGACCAAATACCCAGATCCCGTTCTCGATCACTTCAATGACTCCCAGGGGCATGACGAGGCAACCACACATCAAATCCCACGTGGCCAGTGATGTCATGAGCAGCTTCGGAATGGTGCTGTTACTCCGGGTTGTTTCGGTGCTGCTGTTGACATCGTAGAAGGTCAAGGCGATGATGACTGTCACGTTGGCGCAGAGAGTACACGCCGTGATGGCTGACAGCAAGATGGCCAAGAACGCAGCGGTCGGGTCTGTAAAGAGGTTTTCGGTGTGAGCCTTGTAAATCAGAAACAAAACATTGCACTGCGAGTAATTCATTTTTGAATTGTATAAGGAAGTGTTGATATTAAAAATTATTGCTTAAAAATTAATAGTTTGTTGTTAAGAATGCCAATGTTCTGTTTAAAAAAACAGCGGGCTAGATCATACAAAAGTCTAATTTAACCTCCAAATGAAACAATAGAAGTCGAACAGTATCAGAAGAAGCACATTCTCCCTCCTAAACGATTTGATCCTCCGTAAATTCAAATAGATCCCAGTAATGCATTTGGTTTCTGCTTTAAAGCATCAGTGTTCGGATTTCCCTGAAGATCATGTGTTCAAGTCAGTGTCCTTGATTCATTTAAATTGAAGAATTTATTTTTTTATTTAAAAATCCAACCAGATTTTTTTTTAACAAAGTTGTCAAGATTGAAATAAAAATCTGTCCAATTTTCTGAAAAGCTGGTGCGTAAATCGGGGAACACTGTAATATCTGTAGATTTAAAAAAATAAACAAATCATGAGCGTTACTTCATACTAAAATGTTGTAATTATTTTACTAACTGAATCATGACTGACATTGTGTGGCATTGTAAGAAAAAAGATTACAAGGTTTATAGAGAGTGCAATTGCTGAAATATAACAATGTCTGATTTTCTTAGTGAATTCTTCCCCCGTGCAGTTCCACCCTCGCCGTCGTTTAACGGAATAGCCATCCTTTTGGCAAAGACTCTAGAAATGTCCAATCGCGATTGGGAACAGGCTGACGCTAAGACTTAAATTATTTAAGAACTAGAGGGTATGACCTGGTGTTTGAGGGGATAAAACACGAAATATTCTAGAATTACTAACACAATCACTCACTATATCTTCACAAGGGGGTGACAACATTTTGAAATGAAAGAGAGTTATCCTAGTTACAACATTGTAGAAGAACGCGCCATTTTCCACTCAGCTCGTTAACCGTGGGCGTGTTGGAAAGGGGTTGGGGGATGGGGGGGGGGGTCTGTTACATTGTTTGCACACGGTTTAATTGATATAACAGACAAATTTGCAGCTACAAGCTCGGGGCCAGGCTTTTGCCATGGTAATACAATCATGACACTTGGGGGGTTGAGGGGACAGGCGATATTGATTTTCTATAGCTTAAAGTTTACCAAAGGAGATGTATTGAAATTATTAACATGCCTTTGAATTTGAAATGTTCATAGAAATATAAATTTGGAACACCCTTCCAGTCGCTCTAAGAAACAGCCAGACACTGGAATCCTTTAAAACAGATTTAAAAAAACATCTATTTCGCAAACACCTTCTGGGGTGATATTAACTGAAAAAGATGGTAGATAGCGAATATTGGCTTGTGTTGCTTTTGGTTGAAACGGGATGAAAGACTTTGGCTTGGTCTGCTCGTTTGTAGTTTTTTATTGTTGCATCTGTTTTTGTTTTTTTTAAAGTGGTAAATTTTAGATTGTTTTTATTTCTCTTTTTAATTTAGTTGACTTTGTACCGCGCTTCGAGCTTTTGGGATGAAGCGTGTTTTTCAAATAAACTTTATTATTATATATATATTCAGTGGTGTAGCTAGGGATGGTGACACCCGGTGCGATAAACTCATGGTGTCACCCACCCACCCCCTCGCCACAAAAAAAAGGAAGAAATTCATCATGGAAGTTGCTTTTTAACGGTTGGTGGGGGTAGGTGACACCATGAGTTTACCGCACCGGGTGACACCATGAGTCTATCGCACCCTAGCTACGCCACTGAATATTATATATGTGATTCAAAAAACGTTTCTTTATTTAAATAAATAAGAATGAATCATTTAAAGATTGAAAATAAATTCATTTTAATGTGTGTGTTTTTTAAACCGATTCTTATACTTAGAATCGTCCGACCACACCGTATTTGGTTTTAATGGAAAGCCCTAATTCTCAGAATTTAGATAAATATAGCCTCATGTCAGTTACGGAAGTTACCGAACACTTCAATCGACGTGGAATAATGACTGTGTTTTTCTGACCTAAACATAGGGTCATCACATTTCTGGCGCATCAACCTCGAAGTTTTAATAATGCACGCATTTGGATTGGTTACATTTGTGAAAAATGTATGTGTGAATGGTTATCCTTTTATGAATCTCGGTTAAACCGAGCAGTGTGTGCTTAGTGTGCTGTGTAAATGTGCAATTTTTCAATTGGGTGTCACCCCTAAAATTGTGTCACCCGGTGCGGTCCGCACCCCCCCCCCCGCACCCCCGTCGCTACGCCACTGTATTTATTATGTTCTACGTAAATCATACTTTTTTTTTCAATAAAAACAGAAGGAAATGCTAAGAGGTGCATGAGATTATCACGTAATGTATTCATGCACTCAGAAATACAGTAAAAATAATTATTGAATATTATATTACTTAAATTTCAGTATTACCTGCTGGTGTGGGAATTCAACGTCTGATATTAAACACCACATAAACCGACTAATCAAGAAAGCTAGGAACATAACACAAACTTAACATCCTTCACTTGAACAACTATTTGAAGAAAGATGTTTTTTGTAAAACTAAACACATTTTGGATGATACAGCCCACCCTCTTCATCACAGATACTTAGGATCGGGCCGTTCGGGACGAATTCTTTACATCAGGGCGAGGACTGACAGATATAAAAATTCTCTTGTTCCCCAATCTGTACGAATTTCACGGCGTGCTTCCTCTGAAGTCACACATCTGAATGAGAACTAATAAGTCCCCGATTTTGCTAAGAGAACTCACTGAACGGCTGTTTGAAATAATTTATTATAAATGTCTTGTGTTCAAATTGTTTTATTTTTGTGCTTAAAATGTATAGTGCAATCAAAAAAACCTTTCCATTTATTTGGATCAATAAAAGAATCTTATCTTTTCTTACAATATATATATATATATATATATATGTGTGTGTGTGTGTGTTTGTGTGTGTGTTTGTGTGTGACAGTTTGTGTGTGTGTGTGTGTGTGTGTGTGTGTGTGTGTGTGTGTGTGTGCTGGTAAATTTTCTTAAATACTACAATTCATACTGCCGACAGGAAATCTGATATTGGTGAGCTGGTCAAATTAAAATATTATAAAGCTTTTGATGGAAATACAATTCTAGAAATTATTAACGGCAAGTCTCTTTGAGGTACCCGAACCATTTCCAGCTGCTCCACGATAGGTCAGTGGTTCTCAATGTGACAATATGACACGGTGGATGGGGGGAGGCTCAGCTAGTTTTAGAGTAGCAACGATTGAAATACCGCAAACATCGTGTGAGTGAGTGTGCATGTGTGTGTGGGGGGGGGGGATTGTGGAGGAACTATGGATTTACAGTTATTTGATAAATAATGTTAATATGTATATGACCTCCAATAGACTTAGTGACGGGTTGCTATCTCCTGACTATTGTAGCTTGTATCACGGCTTGAATATTCAACAACGTAGAGGATTAGATTTTTCAACATGAATTTAATTATACATGGTAAAAGGGTATTGAGTTAAACAGAATAAATAACACCGGACAAGAACAAAAAAATCTGATTTTTTTGTTTGTTTGTTTTGTGTTATTTTGTTTTTTTTTGTCTTTTGTTGTTTTGTCTGCTACTGATAAATTCAGATTGTTTGTAGTTTTGGAGCTCTAGAGTGAAAAATTGTATGTGTATTATAAAAAATTACACAAATAGTATTTGCTTATATATTGTTACTTAAATTGTATAAATTTAACTTAAAAGTTTATTCTATTTCCAAGAAATAAAAAATAAAAAAGGTATCCAATGTACGATTTATTAAATTATAAAGTGCCGAAGAATACAATAACATGTACGAAAAAGGGAATCTTATGATGATGTTTTAAATCATAAAGAAACAAATGTAATTTAATCAAGTGAAAAAATCAGTTTAAAATTTTTCCTCCAGCTTAATTCTAGATGAGTTGAGAATGACTTTAGGTATAACTTGCTCTTTGGCTCCTGAGTGGCCCCTGTTGCCCGCTGGAGAAACCATCTGTAAAACACAACTCGTCCTTTTTGGAAATCGCAGTGGACCTGATGCGTTGATTCCAAGATGAAGACGTTGTCATTACGATCATCTTCGTCTTTGTCAAATGCATAACAGGTCTTCAGACGGTGGGGGGGGGGAGTGTATAGGCCATGAATGGTGATTCCTTGACGACGTGGTCGTTAGGAAGGGGTATGAGTGAACAGGGATCCCAGCCCTCACAGAGTATGTAGAAGCTGTATGTGAGATTGATTGAGTGAGAGGGTGACTGAGAGATATATTGGATAGATTTAGTTTTGGTATCCTGTAAGTGGATAAGGCCGTGAATAGTAGTACATAGTGCAGGTGGCTTCTAATCTATTTCATGGAATAGTAACCCTTTCTTGTGTAAGCTCAGTCAATTTCATACAAGTGTGTAGAAGTGGTGACAGCTGACATATATCTATATCTTCAAATCACTAAAGAGAACTAATCACAGTCAAAGACGACTGGCCACAATAGACAACACCAATAATTAAGGAAGAAATAGCTTGCATCAAGGACTCCAATGTTAAAGAGGTTTTTTCGAGTTGCTTCTATTATTATGTTCATTTTTTGTACATACATTCATTTAGCTAGTATAATTATTTTAAAATTATGATATATCTCTCACATAACATTTAAATAATAAAAAATCTGCAGATATTTTAATTTACACTGAGGATTGATTAGTGTTGTATGTATTGTGTTACCTTGGGCACATCAAATCAATGGGTTGTTATGAAAACAGTCTAGAGATTATAGCATAGCTCGCCTAAAAGTAACAGAGCTCATGGCAGACGTCTAGGGGACATTATGGACATCTCCCTCTTTGCTCATCGCTTTCATCAACCGAGTTTAGTGGTGCAACATCCAGATGAGGGAGTTGCTTGTAGGATTAGTACATTGTCTCTTTTATTTTGTTTTTTTTTTTGTTTTTTGTATTAAAAAAAATCTACTACCAACCAGTTCTAAGAAACGATAGATTTGGTGAATTCTTTGTTAAATATGCACTTTATGAAATATCAACACACATCATTGAATGTATCTTTATATCCAATAAAAAACAGTGCATTGAATGTATCTTTATTGATTAATACAAACAAAGTACATTGAAATATCCTAATAGCAAATAAAAACACAGTACATTGAATGTATCTTTAAGAAAAACAAAAACACAGTACATTGAATCAATGTTCCCTCTAAGGTTTGCTGATTCGTGTGCAAAATCATACAGTTGTGTGCAAAGTTGTACAGAATCAATTTTTTTTTGTGCGCAAAATTTTGCAGCCCACAAACACAAACAGACACTTACTTGGAAATTTGCTGCGCGGATACTCAAAACTGCTGCGCAGTGTCTGTAAGTTAGCTGCGCGGCCGCACAGCCGCACAGCCGCGCACCTTGAAGGGAAAATTGCATTGACTGTATCTTTAAGACAAACAAAAATACAGTGCGTTGAATGAATCTTTATGACAAATAAAAATACTGTCCATGGAATGTACCTCTTTGACATCAAAATAGCTTTATTTAAGGAATGATTGATATTTTTATAATAAAGTCATTTTAAAAATGTAACTAGTAAAATTTATCAGAAAATTAAAATGGTCATCGAATCACTTTTTGAAAATATTAATATGTGAAACAATCGGCCATTTAGTGAAGCAGGCCGCCAACCCCCTGGGGCTCTAGTCTCATTGTTGGTAGTGGCTTGCCGATTAAAGGGCGCTTCCAGCTATCCCCGGAAGTTACCCGGGGCGCAGAATCACCTTTTAGGGGACCTTTGTGTGCAGAAAAAGACGTGCATGGTTTCTGCGTTAAAAGAACACAGCTGTATAGTACCAAGCCAATGGCACAGCTGTATGGTACCAAGCCAATGGCACAGCTGTATGGTACCAAACCAAATACAGTTGAAAATAACGACAGAAATAGGCCTGGATCATGACTACTAGTTGCGCTAATGGATGTGAGGCATGGGTATGTTGTGACAGACCACGGTAAGTGGGTGTTAGTGGGACGTTAAATATATCCATGCCAGTAGTAGGAAGTTGGATTGCTGCTTCTGTAAGAGCAGCACTGCCAACTTGCCAGGTGCTCATTGGTTGATATCGCCGTACATTATTTCAACAATAGAAAAAGGATCAATTATCAACTTATCAATATATAACCTTATAACGTATCAGCTGCATGCCAGTATATGAGAATGACTAGTTTTGAAAATTCGTAAAAATTATCATAAATTTATGTAAAGAAATCAAAGAGATTTGTATAACACTGTCAATAGATTGAACAAAAAGAATTTAAAAGTCTATTTAAATGTAAAACGTTTCAAATTGATAAGATGATATATTACCTTAAGAAATGGGGTCAGCGGGCCGTCGAGCTAGCGCTCTTTATGCCCTCCCCAAAACAACCCTCCCCGGTATTGGGCCGCAGAGCGGCACGTCAGGACAGCCCCCACCCGAGTCAGTTCGACGGGGTTCCGCTGGAGGCCGCCCCAACCCAAAGACACCCGTTTGGTCCGACACTGTGTTTGTACACAGTGCACACAATCGACTTTCTCATGAGTATATTGAATCATTGATCCAGTTTATACCGGTCATAAATTGTCTTCTTTTAATATAATAATAACTAGATATATCCCGCCAAACATTGGAGATAGCAATGCGTGAACTTCCCATCTACTCAAGTTACTTGACAAAACATGAACTCAAGTAACGCACATTTAAGAATCCCAATTTTTACTACACCTCTTTCCCCCATGATACGTCACTGCACTTTTTTTTTTATTTTAAGCCCATGAACTACCGGTATATTAATTATTGTGATGTCCAAACCACTTTTAAATCGAATATTTTTACAACATACTTTAATTGAGACGATTTCAGTTACCGAAAAGAAAATATTAATCACCAAACGCAGTTGCGCTATATAAAAAAATGTATACCATTTAGCCTAGTGATCGGGAATTATATTTAGCGCGCTTTTGAACTCATGATTGAACCATACTTTCTTTCAAAAATTTAGAATTATTTTTAATATACTCTCAATACCAAATAAGCAGATTAGGATGCAATGCAATAGAACGCAGTCCATTAGGAAGCAGTCGATTAGGAAGCAATGCACGACTCACACCAGAAGAGTATTATATAATATATATATATATATATAGAGTTAATAAAGAACAGTCAAACAGTCCATAGAATGGACATCGGTCTACATTTTGCCAAAGTCAAATGTCATTTTATATTGAATACAAGAGGCAAAGGAAACAATCTATAGTAACAGTAACAAGGCTAAACATTTTCTGTGCCTTTGACATTTTCAGCGACATTTTTAAATTTAATTCGGCAGAATATTATTAACATTTATTTCAATAAAAGAGAATTAAATCACATATTTCTACATTTATTTCCTATAAAGTTTTGATAAGTTGTTGATTTTTTTAATGAGAACGGATTTTTTTTGTTAAATCGTACTGAAATTTGTTTGTTAACGTATATTGTCTATGTGTTGAGTAAACTGTAATTTGTAGTTTATGTGTAAATATTTAATTTATAATGTGGGCTTAATTAAAGTGTTTGTATTCGTGATATGATACTGATGGCTTGTGTAAATAAATTGAATGTCCTGCTTGGTGATATGTCTTTATATTGTGTGTCAAAAATAAAAATAAAACATTCCTCTGCTGTGATCAAGTCTTTACTTTTTTTGCGTTCCTCAAGAAATTCTTCACGGCCTGCCTGACAGAACTGTTACAGCAGTAGAGTAGCGGGTTGATGGCCGCATTTAAGTAGGCAATCCACATAACTGATACCACGAGCCATGGGGGAAGGCTGTCAATCAACTGGAAAAACACCATGGCGAAGCTCAGTGACGGACACCAGCAGACGGTGAAACAGATGACAAGACTTCCCACCGTTTTATAGGCTTTGAGATTCCGGCTTCCTGGCATATGTGAGCCCTTAGGAATAGAACCACGTAGAATACTCACAGGTAATCTATTATTATAATTTAGAATCTGTAAGGACGATGAGGTGGCGTAACCTGGAATTTCTTCAAACGGAAGAGTTATTTTAATTTCTCTTGAAAAGTCTGGATCAGCAACGTTGGTGTTGACCTTTTCAGAAAGATGACCAACAGAAATAATGGCCAAATGGTGACAATGATCAATTGCATTCCTTATTATTTTTGGTGATCTCTTGATACCATTTTCTCTGAGCCTTTTTTCCTTATCCGGGTACTTGACGTTATGGCTTACACACTGTTGATGTTTTTTGGCTGTAAGAATGTTTCGTTTATTCTTTAACTGTTGAACTTTTCTCATAATAAGGAAGTATGGAACGTACGTGCAAATGAAGGGAACACAGTATATCAACACCAAACTGAATAAGAGGTAGCCACGGCTTATAACCTGGGAGCATTCCTTCCCGGTGCAATAATATTTAGTGCTGTGTGGGTCGCTGTACGCATGATTGACAAAAAGAAGCACTAGGTTTAAAACGACGGGGAATATCCAAGAAACCGCCGCCATGATATAACCCGTCCTGTTGGTTAGTAGCCTGTACCGCAGGGGTCGACATATGGCCAGAAACCTATCCAAAGACATAAAGTTGACGTGGAGCAGAGACGAGCAAACCCAGGTGTAATTCATAAAATCTCGCGCCATGCATAGTCCGTAACCAAATACCCAGATCCCGTTCTCGATCACTTCAATGACCCCGAGGGGCATGACGAGGCAACCACACATCAAATCCCACGTGGCCAGTGATATCATGAGCAGCTTCGGAATGGTGCTATTACTCCGGGCCGTTTCAGCGGCGCTGTTGACATCGTAGAAGGTCAAGGCGATGATGACTGTCACGTTGGCGCAGAGAGTACACGCCGTGATGGCCGACAGCAAGATGGCCAAGAACGCAGCTGTCGGTTCGGTAAAGAAGTTCTCCGTGTGAGCCTTGTAAATCAGAAACAACACGTTGCACTGAGAGTAATTCATTCTTAAATGTATAAGTTATTGTTCAAATAAACATTGTGATACAGAAGTGTAATAGTAAGACTGTTCATGTTCTGTAAAAAGAAAAAAAAAAAGAACATCATGTCAGAACAAAGTTCCGATGAGCCATGGAAGTATTTAAAAGAAGACAAGCGGAAACAGAAAGGAAAAAAAACAACAAACAATGCTCCCTCCTCTACAATTTGATCCTTCGTAAACTGATGTGCTTCATTGCCGTGATTTCAGTTTCTGCTACCAGGCCACGGTAGAAGACTCACAGTCTCACACGTGAAACAGGTGAAAGGCCGGCCTAGTTCTGTGTGGTGTGCAACCCAAGACCGAAGATGTGAAAAAACAGTGACATTTAAAATAAAAAATTTAATTTAAAGAAAAATGTGCCTATTTCCCTGAGCTCAGACATTTCGCATGACGCTCGCTGCGTCATAGAGGAACACGAACAATGACAACACCAAAAAACAGTCGCTTGCCCCTAAAGAAACACAATAAAGCTGTTCACCCATGTTCAGACGTCACGCATGACGCTCGCTGCGTGAAAGCCTTTTTTTTTTTTTAACCACTCAGTACTATTAATATAAGACATATGAGTTTGATGTGGGCTGGTTTTGAAAGAGGAAGCAGGACTCACCAGAAGCAATATATATATATAAATAAGAGATGGAGAACACTAATGTTTTAAATTATTTTCTTTTTTTTCTTTTTTTTATCTTTTTTTTTTCTATTTCTCCTATCTGCTGAGCAAAGGCTCTTAGTCGAAACGAACTATTTTAATTGTCCTGTCTTTATATTTCAAACTTCCACGTACCTTGTTCCAATCGATCCTTCAAGGAAAATAGTTGAGTACAATAACAGAAAGTTTAACCAATCTCAGCGGGGAATACAGGTGGGCACTGGAAAGTTAGAGGAAGAGCACAGGTAGCGTGTAGGAAGAAAATGTTTATAACTAAGGAACATCATACATAAGACAGCTGTAGTTACTGAGAAATTCGTCAATGCCAAACAGCTGATTTGATGAGCGCGAGGACCTAGCGTCGTAAATGGGATCCAGCTCTATTGGTCAATTTTGCCGTGGATTGTTTTCAGTAAATTCTTCACCGCACATCTAACAGACCTGTTGCAGCAGTAGAGGAAAGGGTTGATGGCGGCGTTAGTGTAGGCGAACCAAATGACGAGCTCGACAAGCCAAAGGGGCAGGCTGTCCCTTAGCTTAAAAAATACACCAAAGAAAGTCCAACAAGGACACCAGCAGATTGTAAAACACAGCACAATACACCCGACCGTCTTGTAAGCCTTCAGATTTCTACTCCTCGGTAGTGGTTTAGGTATCTTCTGATTGGAGACTCCTCGCATGGATGCAGATTGTGTATTTGTGAAATGGCATGGAGCTGGAGAGGTTGATGTACCGGTAATTTTTGCAGTGGCGTTGGCGTGATTGTAGGGAATTATTACAGATCTTTTCCTAACTGCGGGCAAACGTCTGGTCCCGACGTCGTCTGCTCCAGGGCTGGTGAATTTGTCTGTCACAACGCAATCCCCTTCTGTTGAATCAGCTTCTCTCGGTGTTTTGTCTACTTCCAGTTTTTGAGCATTTTGATTAATAGAGCAAGTATTATTTTGTGTACCGTCGCATGAAATGAAAATAAAAAAATTGATCTTATAAAAAATTACAGGAATGACACTTGCGTTCAGAGCTTCTCCATTTTGAACAGTTTTATTCTCTCCCATGTGAGATGTTCTTTCCCTTTCCTTAGCACCACAGGTCACACTCTGTGCTGTAAGCTTGGAACGATTTTTGTTAAGTGTTACCACATTTCTTAGAATAAAAATGTACACAATGTAGGAGCTGAAGAAAGGAACGCCAAAGGCTAGAACGATGATAACAATCAAATAAATGTGGCTGAATTTCTGAGTGCATTCTTGCCCCGAGCAGCGCCACCCTCGCCGCAGGTCATCGTCCGATCTTCCTATCATGTCATAATACGGCCAGACGTTGAGAAGGGCGGGAACTCCCCACGACACGGCAATCATGACATACCCAGTCTTTTTAGTCAGACCCCTGTACAAAAAGGGCTTGCATATGGCGACGTATCTGTCGATCGCCATGCAGTTGACGTGCCAGACTGCGGAGATCGCCCACCAGTATGTCACATATAAACGCGCGGTGCACAGAGACGGCCCGTAAATCCAGCGTCCATTTTCCTTGAACTCTATCAATCCGAGAGGCATGACGAAAAGACCACACAAGAAATCGCAGGCTGCCAGTGATGTCATCAAAAGCTGTGGTATACCACCAGAGGTTATGAAACTTCTCTTTCTGCTTTTGGAGATTGTGAGTCGGCGCTTGAAGAGCATAGCCACGAAAAAGGCGAAGTTCGCGAACAGTGCGACAGATGCTATCATGCCGAGAAACACGGTCGTTGTGACCGCGGCGTAATCGGTCTGTGAGAATATACTCTCATAGTGAACACGGTATGAAAAGTAGATGAAGCTGCACTGTGAAGAATTCATTTTTGTGTTTCAATGAGTTGACTTGATTTCACCAACACACGAGATACAGGCCTATTTGTGAAATATTGCATTTAGATTAGTTGAGTTATTTTTAAAATAATATTAACAAACGGGATTGTTGCGAAAAGTAATTTTAAGATATTAGTCTCACCTTGCAATAAAATGTGCAGAGTGTGTCCGACTTGTCAATTTTGGGGAATCGTTTTCCTGTTTTGATACTGGGCGGAAAAACGCCACTCAATTACGTCCAAAGTTGATAACACGAGTTGAGACCTGAGAGACAAACGTTTATCGGACACAAAGTCTGAGGTTTGAGCTAATGCGTGGACTTTGGAAATAACTGACGTCCATTAGAGGATTCAATAATTTCAAGATGAGTTACAACTAATACAGTTTAGGCGGCTCTCTGTTTAAACATGGATGGAGGTTTGTACAAACACGCCTGTGGCCAGCCATTGGCGATGTTTAGCACAACCAAACAAACCATTTGTGGACATTCCGTCGGCACATTGTCGGATATCACGAATTGACAACTCCATGCATTTAACTTCTTCCACGGCAAGTGGCTGTAAAACACCTGGTGACAGACTTTGATTGCTGATATCTCAAGTGCCCTTTTAATAATCTTTCTCATACTCCACCAATCCACAGGGCTGTTTAAAGTGTTTGCAAAGATTTCAAAACACTGACGTTGTTCTGCCTCACCATATCTTGGTGCGTCAGGACGGATTGTCTCTACTTACAGAGGGGTGGGGACATATGCAATGTCAATTTTGACTGCCTGTTGTCTTCATGTCTTCGTGAGACATTGGATTAGTCGGATATTTATAGTTAAATGCCACCCTTGCTACAATTGATGCCAGGTCAACAATGTTGAAAAATACAACCAACTGTCATCTTTTAATTTTAGTTCTTGTATTGACAGAGGTAACCTTCACCATTTGGTCCATGGGGAATATGTCTCCTTTTATTTTGTTGTTATAGAGCACAATCTCTGGTTTCTTGTATTCGGTTTCACGATCTATATCTGGATGAGTGTGTATTGTGTTCAAGAGCAATACATTTTTTCTGCTTCGAGCTCTAATATTTGACAAGGTTTTTTTCTAGTCTGAACAAAAACACTGATTTGTTGAGGGGCATAGCCTACTTTTGCTTGAACCCCTTGTGTAGGAACATCTTGTCCCGTGTCACTGTTCCAACTAGGGTGAGTCGGTTCTTCGCCATTGGTTCTGCGAGCTGTAGAGGAATGAAATAATTGTGTGTTCTGAAATTGTGGACCTTTCCTTGGAAGTCCATTGTCAGAGAAATCACAGTCTCTGGGGATATGCAAACATTTCTCTTTGCTTGCATGACACTTGCATTTTCTTTGCTGAGATATGGGCAGCCTCTAAAAAATAGTTTGAAGACGATTCGCAGGCCCAGAAGATTTGTATTCCATATTTGTCGAACTTGTTTGGCATCAATTGAATAAATCTTCACCGACCTCTGAAATCAACCAGTTGCTCACCTACTGTGATGTTCTCTCCAGAAAAAAAGTACCTCGCCAAATAATTAAGGAATGCTTCTCATAAATCTCTAATGGGAGTAAAAATGTCATGAGCCAGAAATGATTTATCTAGTATCCTTGTTGTCAAAGCAAATATGAATCAGAAATTTGTTGAATATCTTCATTGAAAATGTTGCCCTAAAAAGGAGAATTTCCATCAAAAGGGTTAAATAAAAATTCTACTGAAGTGCTGTTGAAGTGAAGAGAACAAATGCATCAGTGGGAGAAACTACGTGATCTGTGAAGGCAACTAAATCATGCCACATTGTAAAAACGAAAATGACATAAAGACATAATAAGGGTAGAGGCTGCAATCGAGTTGGCAAAGTAGGAAATGAGTTAAACAATGTAAAACAATGTTATTCTGATTTTTCTGTTGTTTATTCGCTGACGAAGGCTTTTCTTATAAATATTTACCATTTTAAATATTATATGTTTAACATTATCGAATTTAATATATTGGTATCTTCTGATCGGTTTGATACTTCGAGGTGCTAAAGAAATGTCTCACGGCTCGCCTAAATGATGCGTTACAGCAATACATTAGGGGATTGAGTGCGGCGTTCTTGTTGGACATCCACAAAATTAAGCTTACAAGCCACGCTGGAACCGAATCGACCGCCTGGAAGTAGAAGCAGCTGAAGGTCAAGGACGGACTCAAGCAGACGGTAAGACAAAGAAGAAGACTGCCCACTGTTTTGTAAGCTTTCAGATTTCT